CTTTCCCAATTTTTGTGAAGTTTCATGACTTTTACTTGAGTAGTTTTCTCATCAGTGAAATTTAATTTTAACAAAATAATTTTCTGTTCATGTAATTTTACTTTTATTTATTTTTTCAAGTACTTTGTGGAGCTCTGGGGTTTTCTGATTTGTGTGAGTAAATAAAGCTATGTGAGATTCTGTTTTGCAATAAWGTTTTTGTTCTTCAAAAACCCTTATAAACACTTTTAAACCTCCTGCAGCCTGTAACGCTCTGCTGAGACTCTGACTCTGTGCAGCAGCAGCTGTTTCAAGGCTTTTTACAAGCGAGCCAAGAGACTTCCTGTTATTTCGACTCTAAGTTGAAACTCAGGACAAGGATTGTTTGGSCCCGCTGGCTGCTGATCCCACCTCCCTCTCTAACAGCGCCTCAGAAATGTGGGGGTGTTGACGTTTCCTCAGCAGCTGGAATGTGCAGYTCTGCTTCTTTACTTCTGTGGAGTTCAACAAACTAAGTTTTATTTGTTTATTTGTCTTTAGGACACAAGATTCTTCATAAAAAACAAGGGTGTAATCACCATCCTAAAAGTGGGGGGACACATTTTTAAAGGTCTTGTTTTTCCTGCTTCAGTTGAAATAAGTGGGGGGACATGTCCCACCCTGTGCCAGTTACAGACATGTACAAAAACCAGAACGTGAATCTTTTCCTAAAACTTCATGGTGATAATCTGAACACTAAGAACGTTTTGAGGAAAAATAAACAAGCTGAAATGATTGGTTCAGCTGTGAATCACTGCAGAACTTATGATGATGTCACCCAAACAAACATCCAGAACTTCCTTCATACTTCAGATAATCACATGATTTTTGTGATTATTTTGTAGGTTTTTAATGTTCTTTTTGAGGTGGAAATTTACCAACAAAGTGAGACAGAAACTTTTAAATAAAAGTCAAGACAGTCAATGAAAAGAACTGTTTCAGTCATGTTCCAGATGTGATGTTGTTGTGAGATAAAAAATGTTATCCATGTTGTAATAAATACATCACAAACTACAAACTGTCCACAGCTGTGTCCTAAAGCCCTGAAACTAAAAGAATCCTAAGGTTTTATTTAGATCAACTTCAGCAACACTCAGAAACTGTTTTCTTACTTTGTGTCTGAGGGTCCAGGTTCAGGACTGAAGTCTGGAGGTCTCTGTTTAGGAACATCACTCATGGACAGCCAGGTGACCCTGTCGTCCACTTCCTCCATCCATCCCTCCATCTTCTGCTCTCAGTCCCTCTGAGAGGAACCTGGTTTCAGGTGGTTTCAGGTGCAGCCAGTCTCCATGTGGGTCAGGTCTTCACACCTGATTCCTGCTCAGTGAGGAGGAGGTGATGACRTCATGGTGCATTTRAGTACTGAAGTGTCTCAAGTTGAGGCCTTTTCTCAGAAGGCATCATGTCCTGTTTCCCTTTTAAGACAAGGCTTACACCAGCTGAGAGCTCGGCACAAGTTCCCATGTTAGGAAAGGAATGCTTCAGATACACCGTGACAAACGTGCATCTGTTGGGACTGCATGTTAACCTTTAAAAAGGCCTGTTCTCCTCCGCCTCGCTGTCTTTTCTGGTTTCCACTTGGCACAGAAGGCCACAACTGGTTTGRCTGTAATCTACTGGACTGCAARTAAAGATTGTGCTGTTCAACCAGYCTGTTMCASWKTTCTCTCTTCAGGTCAACAAATCCAGACTCAGAACTGAGAAGTCCAGTTTACTTCAGTACAACTCATAAAAAACTTTAAATATAGAAAAAGCAGCTGAAGAATCAGAGCTTTCTGTTCACCAATAAACTCTGACTAAAACACTTTAATGCTGAACAGTTTTANTGATCAATGGAAATACTGTGTTTCTATAGCAATGATTCCCAGCCAGGGACACGTGAGCATATTCCAGGGGCTACATGGTAAAACTTCCCAGGTGTGTAGTAAATAAATAAAAATAGTACTGATACGTACGGCCCTATGATTTCCACAATGTAGAAAATACAAACAGAAWCACAGAATTAACACAAAATGTAATCCTGGATAAAACGTGGAATCCCACAGAATTTACTCTTTTGGGTATTTTAATGTTTTTTGTTTTCTGCACCTGCCTGCTTTATTTATTTAATAATTATTCACTTTCAAGGCAATGTTTTATCTTCATGTTTGATATGAGTTGTAAAGAATAAAATGCCTGAGAATTAAATGTTCTAATCAGGACTGGAACAGAATCCAGCAAACGTTCAATAAAAYGAAAAACAAACAATCAGAAGCTGCTTCTGTATAAAATGATTGACAGCAGCAGCCGAAACACAAACTGTTGTTTACAAGATGAGGACGACTCTCAGCTACAACCAGTCTGAGCTCCACATCTGTGAAACTGAAAACAGCTAAAACCTGCTCTGGTAGTGGCCGAGAGTCGTCCTCGGCTCATCTCCTGAGGACCAACAGACCACAAGACCCTCAGTCTAAACCTCTGAGTCTGTTAGCAAAATATCTCCTGATGAGTCTGAATGAAACCCTCAGACTGATCTTTGGGTTCGGCTCCAGCTCCAGAAGGTTCGGCTGATWTTCAGCCTGGCTCTGGTGTGGTAGTAGCTGAGAGTCGCCCACCATCAAATAACTTAAAGCAAACAGATAAAATATCAGCTAAACTATGATTTTTGTTTCATTTATCCTCCAACTCAACATGACCTGAACCTCCTGGCAGGCCCGGGCCTCCTGCAGGTCTCGTAGAGGAGCGAGGGTCTTATCTCTGCATTAATCACCTCCTGGAGGCGGAGTCCTGCTGCTGCTGGTCAATAACCTGCAGGTGGTCCGCGGGGGGCGTAGGGAAAGGTCAGAGAGGATCATCAGGTTCTGATAAACCTCAAACATCACCAGAACAACGGCCGAGCGGCCCGGTGAAACCCGGATTATCAGCGCCGACAACAACTTCACTAATTAACTCTGCTTCTTTGTTTACCTCCTGGTTCACCAGTAAACAAACACTCAGTCTGTGACGAGCAAACACAGAACTAATTAAAAACTTTTCTTTCAACTTGGCGACAACAAATCGAGTTAATGAGTCCGGCCCAAAACAAACAACAACAAACAAYAAAAACTGCGTCAGAGCGACAAACGCACAGAAACAAGACGATTACAGCCGATAATTATCAGGTTTTTACAAAGATCTGAACCAGGAGGGACTCCAAAGACTGTCTGAAAACAGGAACCTCATGTTTTTATGTAACTTTGTGTTTGAGCATCAAGTATGATAAAAATGATTAGTGGTGGGTTCAGGTCTGCTAACTGCTAACTGCTAACAACCAAGCTAACTTATTTAGCAGATTAGCATTTAAAGTGTATCTTACCCCCCCCTGTGAAAAGATAACTCCGCCCCAAGG